ACTGCGATCCCCAGGGTGCCCCGCGGCGGCGGCCTTCCGGCTGCTGTGAATATGTATCAGAATGTTAATGACGAGCCGCTGCTAAATTTGGTCAAAGGAGTCACTTCGGCAGAGCGTGCTGTGGGAGCGGCGCGGAGCGGCGGCCGGGCTGGACCGGGCTGGGCAGGACACGGCTGAGCTGGGCCGGACCGCGCTGCGCTGACGAGCCGAGCACGGGGCTCTGCTCCGCGCGTCGCCGCCGCCACCACCGCCACTTCCCGGAGTTTCGAAAGGCGCGGAGGGAAAAAGAGAAAAAAAAAAAAAAAAGACATAAATAAAGCTGCCCGGACCGTACCGTATTTTTTAATCTTTCTCGCTCTTTTAATTTTTTTTAATTAAAAAAAGAGAAAAGCGGTCGAGCAGCACTAGCGGGGGAGATGCGGTGCGGGCGGTAACAGCGAAGACCGGACCACCGCACAAAAGGGCACCGCACCGCACGCACCCCCGCCGCGGCAGCGGAGCAGACGCCCGACCGCCGCAGCCGCCGTCCCCACCGGGGCTCCGCACCCCGCTCCGCCCGGCGTCGGGAGAGCCGCCGGCAGAAGCAGTAAAAGTTTTCAGGAGGGGAGGAAAACTGCCGGCGGGGGGAATCTCCGGTGGAGCGCGCGCCGGCGCCGGCGGAGGGGCTTTCCCCGCCCTCCTCCACCTCGCCCTCCGCCGCACGGGGCTCGCAGCCCGCCGGAGCCCGTGGAGCGGCGGCGGCGCTCGGGAGAACCGGCCGGCGTCGCCCGCTGACCGCCCCCGGGGGATGTGGCAGCGGCCCCCGAGCGTCGCGGACGCCGCCGCCGTCGCGCCTCGCTGCTGCCGGCGGTGCCCCGCCAGCCCCGGGGCGGCGGGGCCGGGGCGTCCCTGCCCGCCGTCTCCGCCGCCGCGCCTGCAGCCCTGATCCCCGCCGCTCCGGCCGCCAGCGCCCCCCGAAGCGGCGTGGATGATCCGCGACCTGAGCAAGATGTACCCGCAGACCCGGCACCCGGTGAGTGGCGGCGGCGGCCCCGCGGGCAGCGCTCCGGCGCGGGCACCGCGGAGTTGTAGCCATTTTCTTATTGTTGTCCGCCGCGCTGCCGCCGCCTCCTCGGGTCGGGGTTGGCTTGTTGGAGTTGCCCTCGCCTGGTGCGCGGCGGTCCCGGCGCCAGCCCCGCGTCCCGCGGCTGCGGCCGGTGCGAAGGGTCGGAGCGGGCGGCACCTCTTCCAGCGGCGGTCCCTCACCGCCGGCGGACACGTCGGGGCAGCATCTCGGGGCGCTTGGGGCATCGTGCCTCCGCCCGCGGACGAGCGGGGACCTGAGGGGCTGCGCCTCGGCGGAGCCCGGGTGCGAGGGCCACGGCGGTAGGCGGGAGGTGGTGACCGGGTGAGAGGGGGCGATTAAAAGACCTGCTGTTCCTTGCTTGCAGGCTCCTCACCAGCCAGCTCAGCCCTTTAAATTCACCATTTCAGAATCCTGCGATCGGATTAAGGAGGAGTTTCAGTTTTTGCAGGCTCAGTACCACAGGTAAAACTGCCTACTTTCCCCGAGCCCCGCGCGGTCTCTCTCTCCTCTCTCCGTTTCCAGTGCCGTGCCCGGAGGGGCGGCGGGGCGGGGGCGCGGGACCCCTGGCGGAACCGGGAGCGGGGCGGACCCGCCCCAGCCAGGCGCTCCTCGCCGGCTCCTCCGCATCCCGCTCAGCTCCCGACCCTGGGGACGAGGGGCTCCCGTGGGCCCCGAGCCGTGCGGTGCGAGCGGATTTTCTTGTTTTCCCCGCGTTCCGTTTTCGGTTGTTATTTTTTTTTTCTTTTCTTTTGTTTCTTTTGGTCTTTTTATTTACTTTTGGGTGCGGAGTGGGGGAGGGCGGGTGTTGATAGAAAAATATGTGTCTGGTTGGGCTCGTCCTCTGCTTTTCTTCGAAATGCCGCTCAGGACAGGCATCTTGTCTTGGCTCGGCCCCCTCACGCCTTTCATTGACATGTCAAGTGCTGATAACCTGGAAGTGAGGCGGCGAGCTATTTCATTATCCTTAGGTGGAACAGTGCTGTGTCCTCAAAGTGACAAGTGGCTTCTGGCAGGATTGTTTAGCGGGCGTCTGAAAACACAATAAACACTGGAGGTGTTAGTATTTACCACTGTATTCATTAAATTATGCGGAGTGTTTTACTTGCAGTTCTATCATCAGTAATAGCAAAGAGCAAAAATTCAAATCCGCAAGTTTTTCTTCTTGACGTGATAATGTGCATTTGATTCTTTTGTAGGTTGACTAAAAGAAAGAGGTGTTTCTAAAACACCTAAATAAAAACTCTGAAACCCAAATTATATGTTTGTTGGCAGCTTTTCAGGCTTAACTGTTAAAGATATGAACCCCTGTGTGCGTCTTCTATGAACCAGTGTTGGTGTTTAGTCTCTTTTTCAGAATAATAATTTTCTGTGTATACCACATGTATGTATGCAGTTCTTTTAGGAAATGAGGATGTTGCATATATCCCTTGAAAATCGAAAAGTGAAAACCCCCATCCTAAACTCCCAAGCAAGAGCTGAAATACACATTTATATTTGGGTAGTAGAGAAATGTTTGAAAAGGGGAGCAGCCGGTGTTCAGGAGAATGTCGCTTTAGTGTTATGAAGTACCCATGCTTTTTCCTTTTTGTCTCTTGAACAGTTTGAAGCTAGAATGTGAAAAACTGGCCAGTGAGAAGACAGAGATGCAGCGACATTATGTTATGGTAAGCAAGCTGCATAACAAATTCAAGATGTCTATTAGCCTGGTATACTGAGACTGACATACATTCGGATTGCTTGAGGCGAACAGGAAGATTGTGGTAGCGCTGCTGTTGTTGAGGTTGCATCAGTGCTTCTATTATAAATCAGTAGTTTCTGGGGTCTTCTAACTTGTTTGCAGCAGTCAGTATCTGTGTGAAACTGGCTTTTTAACCTTTTAAGCAATTGAGGACGTTTCTTCCAAATGCTAGCAAATCACTTCAAGCTGTGTTCAACTTCCATAGTGTGCCTGGGGATGATGTTTTCAGTTTTGCTGACTTGTCCCAATGGTCATATCTCTTTAAAATGTTTCGAGATAGTATCTTCTTCTATAATGGGAGTAAGGTAAAATTGTACAGAAGCGCATGCAAATCCAAAGCCTGCTTCTTAGAGGAACTGTTGCTCTTCGGCAGCTGAATCATTGTTTCATTACATTGAGAATGTCAGGGATCTCAGCTGTGAAAGGGATTTCCTCAGTTGTTGTGGTCTGCCTGGTTAAATAATGTGCGTAGAAAGACATCTTTAAATAGATAATTGTGTGATGGATCATGATAACTGAAGAGGAGCTCTTGCTATCTCTTCTCATGTACATCTCTGAAGGATTAGCCGTTTCCATATGCACATGACAAGTAATACTCCTGTTTTCACAAAAAGAGTAAATAACCTTGAAAAAATCTTAAGAGTACAAGCAAATTGTGAGGCTTGCAGTTGTCATTTTAATGCCCGATATGCCCAAGTCTTGGAGATTGTTTGGTATGAACATTACACACTGAGCAGAGTTCCCTGCAGTACTTGGGCACAGCAGGACGTACTTAGATTGGTGTGTCTGCTCTGGCCCTGAATTTCCATGCTCTTTCCATTTTTTTAAATCCCTGCAATTTAATTACAAGATTTTTTTTAGGTGTTCCTTTTTCTTTTTAATATTGAATAATCGGTCTGTTAGATGTTGCTGATTTATATGTTTATATGCTTGAAGCACTTTGGGTGTTTTTCTGGCATGTTTTATGTGTGCTATAGAATCTAGATAATTTTCTGCTTCTAATCCTTGACTCTGCTTGTGATTATTTTTCATTATTTTTTGTTGTCTGTTTTTGCCTTGTTTAACAGCTGTTATTTGTAAATGTGACATGAAACAATGTAGATAAAGCAAAAAAAAAGTTTATTCTGAAAAGCGTTCTTTGAAATTCCAGGAACTCTTCAAGGCAAATAAATGTGTGTAGGTCTGTATGTCTTTGTACAGATGATGTTTCAGTCAAAGTGAATTTCAAAATAGTTTTCAGAATTGCAAGGTCTAATAGAGTAATTTTCTTTTTTCTTAGTATTATGAGATGTCCTATGGGCTGAATATAGAGATGCATAAACAGGTAGGTAGATAATTTGTTTTGTTGTAAGAATGGTCTGTATAATTTGTCCCATCAATCTTAAAACAGATGTGTATTCTGTGTGACTTGCCTTAATTGCATGCTTGAGTGCATCAGAAATTTTTTTCTTCACCTGGCCCTGAATCTTCTGTCTCATGTTTGGTATTCAGACTCTTTGCAGGTTATGGTCTTGTCTGTCTTGTGCATTATTTGCTTGACTTTCCACGTGCAAATTTTGCTCATGCAGGCACTCCTGTACTTCACAGGGAGGGTGTCTGTGAGTATGGATGAGCTTGTGGGTTGTATCTTCCTTTCTGTGTGGTCTCAAACCTTTGGGGTTTACGTTTTCAGATGTTAGGTGTATCATGAATGTGTATTAGGAAAAGGAGCAAGTGTTGAAAAAACCGTTTTTTTTGTTTAACTGGGGCTGATTTAATCTGGAGCTACAAATGCAGTTGGTGTAAGAGTCGTGTTGATGTTTCGCACAGGCTACTTACTTGGGCTTCTGTCCAGAACCAATATGTTAGCATCTCAAACACAAAGGAGTAAATGAGCTATCTGTGAGGGTGTAAGCATAGAACCATAAAATGGTTTGGGTTGGAGGGGACCTTATCTATCATCTGTTTCCACCCCACCCTGCTATGGGCATGGAACCTTCCACTAGATCAGGTTGCTCAAAGCCCTATCCAGCCTGGTCCTGAACATTGCCAGGGATGGGGCATCCTCAGCCTCCCTGTTCCAGTGCCTCACTGTCCTCCAAGTAAAGAATTTATCACGATATCTAAACTAAACCTGCCGTGTTTTCCGTTTGAGGCCATTTCCCTTTGTCCTATCACTACCTGCTCTTGTCAAAGGCCCTTTACAGCTCTCTCTAG